TCTAGCCTAATTAGTCTAATTGTTTTCCGGAAAGTTTCTTTCGAAATGTTTCTGAGATTACAATCTGGAATATTCAAAGCACGAAGATTGACAAGATGATAGAATGGTCCCCTGTCACTCACACTATTATTATTCCCATGAAGGTCCAATTCTTTAAGTTCTGTGTTGTGTATGAATGTGTCCGGCTGGATATATGTGAGTTTGTTCTGGCCCATAAAAAGCCTCTTCAAAACTTTCAGATTCCTGAAAACTCCTGTATTTACAGTTCGTATTATATTTTTACAACGAAGTTAGCTGATCCATTCTGTCGCTTGAGAATGATGTGTTTGTCAGTTCAGAGATGTCACTGAAGGAGAGATCCAAAGTAACTGTCATTTTGGGAACATCAGAAGGCACCTCAGTTGATGAGGCATTTCTGCACGACATCTTGTGGTTGGACACGCAAGTACACATGGAAGGACATCCTATATATTGCTGTGGTGCAGAGCATATCAAAAGTACGGCGAAATACGTCAGTAGAGCCCCGTGTATCCATTGTTCTGCAAAATAAGAATATATGCATGTTAACTGCAGAAACGTAATAACATATAACAATCAATATTTATTGGCCAGAATACGAAACACGACCTCCTGGCTTCAAAGCCCGTGTAACTGTGTTATTTTCTGGCAATGCAGCTGGACATCTAATATAGCCGGGTTTATTTGCTGAACGCACTCCGTGGCCTGTAGTCCGCAAGCGAACTATACCGACCGAGCGACCACCGCTTGTCAGCGAAGTTCGTGCCAACTTTTGCGGATAGAAGGTGTCACGTGGTCAGCGCAACGGATCCCCACGGTTGTTAATCTCAGTTTTCTAGACCAGAGCCGCTATAGCTCCTCAGTTATCCTCACGAGGCAGAGTAGACCCCGTTCCAGACCCACTACTTCTCAGAAAGAATCTTGTAGCGCCGGGAATCGAACCTCGGACCTCTGGATCTGTAGCCAGGAACTTTGACCACTACACCACAGAGGCGGTCTTGTTTGCTGAGCAGGACTGCAAATTCCCGTCTCCTAGCAACCAAATGAAAGACCTGGGTTTCGTCCCACCAGTGTTTCAGGCCGCAGGTGCATGCATACTACAGCGTGCATACAGGAGCAGGCACTGGTGGGGAGATTTGGGGGATTTTCAAGGGTAATTCTGACAATGCGCGATTTCTGGTCTAGGTGCCGTCTTTAGGGTCTTTAGAACACAAACCGCTCGTAAGGCGCGACTCTACTTCATACAGACTTGTTTCCTGATCGCTTTTTCGGTTCCTTCAAGTGAACAGATTATTTGAGTCAGACAGTACAGTGTGATTCTAAATTATTGTCGGGGTTTCCGTGGCCTATACTTTTCAAACCGGAAACAATAAAATAAAACTGCTTACGGAATATGAAAATGTAACTCAAGAAGTTTTATTTTACATTCTGCATTATTGATTCTATGTGTAATGAAACTTCTTCAGTTACACTTTCTCTCAGTGAAGCAATTTTATTTTGTTGTTTCCGGTTTGAAAATCAGAGGCCATGGAAACCCCGGCAATAATTAGAATCACTCTGTATACATAATGCTTATGAACAGGGTCCGGATTTTGATGACATGTCATCTTTTTTTCCTTGTATCCTATGCGATGCTCTTAAATATATAAATCTCGGATATGAGCTGCTGGTTACAGAAATTTAAATTTTATAGGTAATTTTTTGACATTTTTAGGTTTAAGGTCATTTTTTCATTTTGGGGGTAATTTTTTGGTAAATTTTTGGACTTTTAAGGGCATTTCTTGTAATTTTTGGCCATTTTAGGAAATTTTTCTTCATATGTTTTCTGAAATGTGAATAACATGGAAGCGAAGTGTTCTTTCTTTTCTCCTTTAGGTCATTTTTNCTGTCATTTTATAGGTCTTTTTTAAATATTTCCAGGTCATCAAAATCCGGGCCCTGCTTATGAATAATTTGCTGTAAGCAATTTGGAAGGAGGCGGGCACTGCCTAACGTTACACATTTCAGATCCTGCACGTTCAATTGTTCAAGTCTGGACTTTGGTCAGAGAGAAGCAGAAGGGAAGGCAGAACGGGAGATACGAGTAATTAAGAAGATGATGATGGTGGAGGAGCAGAGAAATCATAGGATAAAGAGAAGAATAATGAAGTAGGGGAGAAGAAGTAAGAGGATAAAGAAATGGAGGGAGAGGAGTAGAAGGATGGGAAGGGAAGACGGAAGAAGAGGAGTAAAAGAGAATTAAGAAAATATACAAAACAAACTATAATAACAAAGGATAGAAAAGACAAAAAATTCAAAGAAATAGAAGACGCCTTCTGGATACCTTGGGCCCGAAAGACTTAATGTATTGCAGCATGTAGACCCTTTACTACGTAATGAATCTATAAACAACGCCCGCTGCTAAACAACGGCCGCGGAATAAGCAAATCTTCCCACGGTAACGATTGAACTACAACAATGAACGGTATTTTCTACGCGATCCGTGCCAAAGGTACAAATAAACGGGGCAAGCTTAGAGCTTGTTCAGTTGCGGGATGTGTGCCAGAGAGTAAGGACATAAGCGGAGGACAGTGTTAGGATTCATTACCAGGAAACTACTAGAAAAGACTGAGAAGACTTTATGGGTGCTGTAGTTACAGTGATATTTGGAGTATGTAACTCAGTGAGACTGACGTAGTTATTTGTAGTTACGTTCT